TTCTGCCTATAACTGATGCCTGTGGTGTCTCACATGTAACTATTGGGGGTTTTACAGTTTCTTTGGCTTTGGGGTGAGTTTGCTTGGACGTTCACTACTGGATGTTTTCCACTTGTGAATAATCTCTCTCACTGTTTTAAAATTGTTTGAAAATAGCATTAATGTGTCTTTCCCCTCCGTGATTTACCCCAGATTTCTATTGTTTTGTATTCCTGACTCCAGTGCTTCCTTCAATTTGTATGTTTGAGATTTTGAAAAAGCTCCTGCATCAAAGCGGTTTTTGAGTTCACATTTTTCCCTCTCCTCCATACTGGGTCCAAAAGCTGCTGCACAGCACATGATTTTACTTTAAAAAAGAAACAAACAAAACAAAAATACTACATAAGGTATAAAATCCATACTTTACTATAAATTCTTTCCCTTATCAAATTCTGGATCATGGGTGCAAGAGGAGGAGTGCACCGCAAACAGGCTGCCAGTCCCATTAACACCAACAGAGAGAATGCACGAACTCCAACACAGAAATTTGAACCCAAGACCTTTTTGTTGATAACCTATACTAGCTTCTTGTGGATGTAAAATGTAAAGCATTGATAATTTTTTGTTAGACCCTGACCCTAACCCTTCAGAACTTGAGCACGATTACCTCAGCCAAGGACGTAATAGTTCTGTCCTTAAAACACGACAGCTCCAAAAGTTTTGAACGAATTCTCATAAAATTTGTCGGGGTGTGGAATAGGGTCATGGAAAACATTCTATTAAAATTTGGTTTACATCCACCAAAGTTTTTAAAGACAACTTAATGAGTTAATGGTCAGAAATTGACAGAAAGCCTTATATTTTAGAAACTAAGGCTTCTGTATAAAGCAGTTTATCAAAATATTTCTTACTGCCTTTTTATTGACAACATATATTCTAAATATCATGTTATTATGATCTTAAATAAAGTCAAACATTCATAAAATGTCTTTTATATTTAAAACTTTACTTGAAATTCTGCTGCCTTTGACTGTATTGGAAACATTCAGGTATTGCATACTGGTATATGGGTACTCCAAACGTCCAAATGTCATTTTATATTTGACCTCTGATCTCAGTTTTACATTTCGCATTTGTCGTTGTTTCAGGTTGACCCCAAAACGTGTTATATCTTTAAAGGGAGTATTACCTAGTTAGTTAGAAATATACTACACTATATTATTATAGAACAAGCTCAGGTTATTCGTGCCCAGTTATTTACAAATAAATATCTATTATCCATTATCGACTCCTACATAATGTTTGTGTAATCAAAGTAAACATCTCTCATGCTACTCTTGTCTGAGTTTCTTAGCTGAGGTCATAATTACACATTACCAGTATAGTTAAACGCACTCGATTGTTACGGTAGCTAATCAGTAGATTAGATTAGATTAGATAGAACTTTATTAATCCCTCGGGTGGGTTCCTCTGGGAAATTCAATTTCCAAAAAAGCACAGCACCGACAGAAGTTACAGAGTTATACACACACACATATATATAAATACAGAGACAATATAAATAAAATATACGAAGGGGATAAATAGAATAAATAGGAATAAAA